TTTTTTTTTGCGCTTCTTGTTGTTTCGTTTTCGTTTTGTTGTTGTTGTTGTTGTTTTTTTTTAATCTTCCGCTTTTTCATTTGAGCGTGTAAGAGTGTTTTGTGAGGGTAGGTGTGTTCGGCGTCGCCCGTCAAATCGTCTTCCTCGCAGGCGGTACGGGTGGCTCCAATGAAATACGTGACAGGACTGTTGCACTCTTCTCCCACGTCATGCCCCGCAGCCAGGGGTGGAGCAGGAGCGCCGTTGCTGTCACCTCCGCCACCGAATCATCTTCATATTCCCCTTTTTCCTCCTCCGTCGGGGCTGCACCGCTCCAATGTGCCGCACCGCCGGTCTCGTTGGGCGGGTGTTGCCTCACACAAGAGGCATGTGGCTCCGGTGGTGAGCGTGGTGAGCGTGGCGTCTCCTGTAGGGCGTCCCGATGCATCATAGGCGAAGTGATGTCGATTGGCTTCCAATTTGGCAGCTTTATCACGGCGGGGAGTACGAGACCATCGTTGAGTGTCATTGGCAGTACCCCATCGTCGTCTACGTCGCACCCAGTGTATGACGTGGGGCCGTGGCGCTGTTCCGAGTACGTACAGGCGCAGGACCGCAGCGACTCCTCTCCGTCCGAGAGTGTCGCCGGCGACGTGCAGTCCCTCTCACGCTCCGCGGGCAGCAGGGCACTGATGAAGTCCCGAAACGCGTCAGAGAAAACTGTCGTGTTATTCCTGACGGGGTGTTCATCGTCAGCGTCACCGCCCTGACTCATGTTATCTCTTGGCGTGACATTGACGAGTGCGGCCGGGAGTCGTGGCGGATGTGTGCGGAAGCTCGCAATGGTGAAGATAGTCGGCGTGAAGGGCAACTTTCCGAGTGCCATCTCCAGCAGCGTGATGCCGAGGCTCCAGAAGTCACTCTCCTTACCGTAGGCCGCGTCAGCGTCCACCCGAGCGGGTGACATGTACGCCAAGGTACCGACAAATGTGTCGCATTGGTAAAAACCCATACTGTGCAGCTGATGGGAACTCAGGCCAAAGTCACTTAGTTTCGCCGCACCTGCAGCACGGTTAAGAAGAATATTGTGCGGCTTCAGGTCGCGGTGCAGCTGCCGCACTGTGTCGTGCAGATAGCGCAGACCATGCAACACCTGGAAAGCAATTGCACAGCATTCCTCCTCGCTAAACGCACAGCCGGGTCGCCGGTTCATGACATCCTTGAGACTCCCACTGTCCATCAGCTCCATCACAATGTACGCACATCCTCCTTCGGCGAACATATCGTAGCATCGCACAACTCCACGGGCATCTTCACTCGCATTATTGCTTTCACCGCCCTCGGCGCCGTTGGGTGCATGCTTCTCGGTGGTATTACCCTTCTCATCCATGAGGTGGTGATGATTATTATTGTTGTTGCTGCTGCTGTTGGTGTTGTCAATACCGATGCTGCGTTTAAGCACTGAAAGCTCATTCTCCACATGTGGCCGTGAGTGTTCTGTGATGTAGATGCACTTTACCGCCACAAGCTCTCCTGTATCCAGGCGCGGCACCGCGTACAACACCCCACTCGATCCCTTCCCTATTCGTGTCATCTTCTCGATTGACTGTACCGACACAATGCGCGATGGTGAGCTGGCCAGAGAATGCATTACCGGCGTGGTGCCAGAAATAGCCATGGAGCGAAGAAGGGGTGAAAGCTTATGAGTGCTCGAGCTTTCACGCATACTCGCCGACATCGTGTTCAGCTGTATCTGCTCCCGATCTATCCGGGACACTCGCCTGTTAACGCCCCCTTCCAACGACGCTCCACGCTGTAAGTGGAATTGCAAGTACAGGCAGAGCAGGCTCGGGAGTCGCCGCCGCCTTTCTTTCCCCAGACTCTCATGCACATCGCGGTTTTCACCCCCCGTTAGCATGACGAATTTATTTCGGTGGTAAGAAGCCTCATTATATGTCAGCGATGATTGCGTAGACGTTACCGTGCTAGAAGCGCTATCCAACAGTTGCTCACGTGCAACCGCATACACTGTTGAGACGGTATCCCCTAGCAGGGCAGCCAGCGCCCGCCACGGCACGGTGTCCTGCTGCACACCCTTGAGCAAGTCGCCAAGGGCGAGGAGCTCAGACGATAGCTTCCCCGCGTCATCCCTGTTTGCGTCATGGGTGGAGCCGTCAAGGCTAATCATGTTCCTGACGCCCATCACCAGCGCATTCTCGGTGCTATTTCCATCCTTGCCAGGCACCGCCTCAAACGCGTGAGGCACGGACACCGGCAGCAGGTATGGGTGAGTGACGTGTTGACACATGAGAGCGGCGGCCACAATGAAGACCTGCTCATCCTCAGTACGGTATTCCGTGAAGAAGCTGCGCAGCGCACTTGTCACCGTCTCTCGCGATCCATGTGGGGACATAACTTTACTGTTGGAGCTAAGCCCGCTGTTGCTGGTGGGGAGCGCCATGTTGTTTTTACGTTCGTAGATCGTTCTGCTTCCTCGGTAAGAGCGGGACATTGTGGTGCGGTTTCCAATGATGCTGTTACTCCTATCCACTGAAGAATCCTCGCTATTGAGTTGGTAGCGTCCAGGGTGGCGCTCGTGGAACTGATTCAGCGCTTTGCGCACCAGCTGCTCCAGCAGCGTGTCCCCATTCTCCATCTCCATCGTCGCGCTGCTCTCAGTACTGAACTGTGGGCGCATTTGAAAGTGCATGAGTGGAGACTGTTCCACCTCCGCATCGTCAGCCGTGGTGCTGTGTTCGTCAATGAGACCCATTTCCTCCAGCAGCGCACGCACGAGCGGCTTGCATGTCAGTGTATGTGTCGTCCTCGGGAAGGCGTTGTTAAAAGCTGGCACGATTTCTGGCACACGTCTCTTGTACACCCGAAACACAAACTGCCTAAGGAGGGCGTTTGCCAACTCTACCGCCTGACGGTGAAGCGGAAGAGAGAAGAAGTCCGTCACTTTGCTACAGCGTTCGAATTTGTCACCAGGTGGCAACGTAGGAGAGCGTGTCTGCAACAGCTGCTGTTGCAGCGGCAAATGGTCCACCTCACCGTCATTGCATTCAAAAGGGGATGTAGGACAACGCCCGTCGAAAAGCGCCTCTTCAAGGTAAATTTGCATCCCCTTGGCTTTCATTGCTCCTTTCATTGTTGTCTAGTTGGTAATACCGATGCTGTCACTACTCCTTGTAATTTCCCTTCTGGCTTCACACAACACAGAGAAGATATAGGCCCATTACGAGAAACAATGAGAGAGAATAGAGATGGTGTGGTCAACAGAGGAGAAAGGATATAAGCCCGTATAAAAAAAGCAGTCAGCATCAAAGATACAAAAGGTCAAGGATGAGAGTTGCTGAAATCCCATATATATATATATATATATAGATGGGTGGGTGGATGTTGGTGAATGTGTGTTTATGTGTGCGTGAGTTCACTTCTCCCTTCTCCATTGCAGAGCTTGGGGGTATATATGTATACATACACACACATATATATATATATAAGCCCCCTCTCCTTCTGTGATCTTAGGCCGCCTTGCTCAGCCTCACATTGGGCCAAAACACATCCGGCGCGTCGAGAATAACAGGAAAATATGTGTCTAGATGCGTCTTTCAGGGTGCATGTGTGTTTGTGTGTATTTGTATGTATGTGTACGTGCGAGTGTGTGTTTATGTCTGCAGCGGTGATGTTTCCGTACATCCGTCCAACGCTACCCCCACAGTCGGCACCCACCGAAACAGAGAGTTAGTGGCTGATGGATAGAATTATAGAGCCTAGACCATCCCACCATGGTTGGTCGCGCAATGAAGCAAAATAATATTACTGCATCCCCCCACCCTCTTCTCTCTCTCTCTCTCTCTCGCTCCTCCACGCCAAGAAAGAGAGAAAGAAAGAGACATAAGGAGATGCACACCAAGGAGAGCTCATCTTGTTGCTGCCTATGTATACCGCCTCGCACCCTACCCGCCCCATCCGACTGTCCATTCCGCACACTGCTGGTACCTTTGGTTGTTGTTGTTTTTCTTTCCTGTTCTGTTACCCCATCGTTGTTCCCCAATACGTCCCGCCACCCACACACAAGCACACCCACCAACACACAGACACACAAAAACTCTTTCTCCCACTCACCTACACAGTTACACTTGTGCTCAGCACTCGCAGCCGCTCTTCTGCACCGCCGGTGCCTTCGCCGGCACGCCCGCGCTGGGCAGCGTGGCGGTGTGCAGCTGCACACCGCTGTCGGGGTCGGTAGGGTTCAATATGCCACACATCACCTCCTCATGTATTTTGTGCGCCGTCGACAGGAACGCCTGCTCCACGTTATCGCCATTCAGCGCGCTGCACTCGACGAATAGCAGGTTGTTCTCCTCCGCGAACTTCGCCGCCTCCTCGTACGACACCTCGCGCTCTTCGTCGAGGTCGGACTTGTTGCCGACGAGAATCATCACTGTGTGCGGGTTCGTGTTGCTGCGCGCGTCCTGCAGCCACGTGCCGACGTGTGAGAAAGTATCCCGCCGAGTGACGTCGTACACCAGCAGCGCGCCCGCCGCGCCGCGGTAGTAGCCGCGCGTGACAGAGCGGAATCGCTCCTGTCCTGCAGTGTCCCATATCTGCAGCTTCACCGCCTCACCACTGATGTCGACGATCATCGTGCCGAACTCGACACCAATGGTGTGTGGGAGATCCTTGCGGAAGCGCTGCTCAGTGAAGCGCTGCATCAGGCAGCTTTTGCCCACGCTCATGTCGCCGATGATGATGTACTTGAAGATGTACTTGTGGCTCATGTCGCACTGTGAGATGGGCTTCACTATTCCTACTGCAAATTGCTGACGCTGCTGGTGTTGCTGGGCGAGGGACGGGGGGGGTCTCTGTCGCGGTGAGTGGGCACAACTATGACGAGAAGGAAACAAGCTGATAACCGAGACGAAATCACGCGCTACGCCGCACCAACAGCCACGCCAACAATCTCCTATTGGTCAAAGTGATGAACTCGGTACAGAGAAGAGCGAAAAACGAAGGTGGGCTTACTGGCTAATGGACGGAAAGAGGAAGGCGCTGCAGAAATCCCCAAGCCTCCGTTCCTTCGGTTTGTTTGCTCTGCACTGTCCTCGCCGTTTCTCGCTGCCGTGACAATTCTGCCCCTGTGGGCGTGCTGGAACGGAGTGGACAGGAGAAAAGCACAGAAAGATAGAGAGAGAAAATAACAAAATGAAATGCAGCACAAAAATGAAGCATGCCATGAGTGGCTTCTCAGTGTGCACCACCACCACACACACACACACACAGGTAGGCAGAGGTGTGTTGGAGCTTCGGTTGTTTTGTTTGCTTGTATCAATTGCATGCAACGTGTGCGTGTGGGCGGCATACAGCCACACACACAGGTGCACATACACAGAGAAAAGGCACGAAGGGAAGAGGGGGAGGGGGGAAAGAAACAGAAGGCAGGGATGGTGTCATATATACCGCCGTCTCGGCTTCCCTCTTCTGTTTCTTTGTTTTCTTATTGTTCCCGCGCTCTCCTCCGTATGTCTCGCTCGGCATGAATCGATGTCTGCCTGTACATCCTTGGGCCGAAGAATGATGGTACATGAAAGAAGGAAACAAAGCGAGCGCCAGCAACGCGACCACCACAGCAACAAACGCCATAACAACAGCAGCGACAGCAAGAGCAGCTGCAGCAGCCTCAGTACCCTGGACGCACCTCCCAACACACCGCCTCCTGATCGTTGATGAGCAGCACCGCCCGGCACCTGAGGCCCTCCAGCAGCCGCACTGTCCCCTCGTAGAGCGTGTTTGCGGCGTTGACGGGGCGCAGTGGGGTGCGCTCCGCCCCCGCCCCAACCGACGCGGCGTCGTCGGTGACGAGAATTATTTCCACTCGCAACGGGCGTGTACGGTCGGCGCGCTCGCACAACCGGTCGTACTCCCGGCGCAGCTGCCGCCGCTGCTTCGCACGGAGAGCGTACTCGCGTCCCAGCAACACCAGGTCCTCCTTTGCGTTAGCGAGTGTCTTGCGCAGCTCTTCTACGTTGTCATTCAGTTGGTTGAGGCGTTGCTGCAGCTCATCCTCCTGCTTCTTTAGCTTCGTCAGCTCTTTGCCACGGCGACGCGCCATACTCTTCTGCACATGCGCAAGTTCTTGCTTGATGGGATCTGCGCTCTCGTTGAAGCTCTCCTCTGCGACCCTCAGTTCCACCCGTGAAGACGCAATCAGCTTGTTAAGCCGCTGCTGACTTCCGCTCGGATCCTCCGACTCCAGGTACGTGTTCTCCACCTCTAGGAGGCGGCGGACGTTGTCGATGGTGACCTCTAGATACGCGCAGTGTGGAATTTGTATTGCAATGCGTTGCAAGTCACCCAGTGCTATCAACGTCCCGCAGAGCGGCTCAATGATGGTGGCGCAGCGCTCTTGAAAGTCGATGCTCACGAGCGGCCACCCGAAGGGTTCCTCTTTGATCTCAACAGGGTACTCGCACCACTGCGAGGCCAAGACCAGAGGTGTTCGAATGACTGCGGCCTCCCCCCAGCCTTGTTGTTGTTGTTGTTGTTGTTGTTGATTGTGGTGATGGTGCGGGGGCATCAGTGACAATAGGCGTTTCGTGTGGGACGCTCCATTACTATCGCGCTGCATCGGCGTCACGCGGATGAATCCGATGTTCGCGAAGGCTCCCATCACAGTGGCGCTCTTGTCGCGCTCGAAGAGGTACACAAACAGGGGCTGATTCCCCCAGCGGTGGCGCGCCGCGCGGATGTCGAGGAGTACCTCCACCTCCTCAAGGTCGTCGCGGCAGCGCTGCACGAGAAGCAGCTCGCGGTCCAGCAGCGGCACCACCGGGACCGGCTCCGACGCCAACGTGACGGTTGCAGTGAGCTCGACGCGGTGTGAATCGGCGCGCGCGACCAGCCGCACGACGTGCTGGTCCCTGTCGGCGAACACGGGGTGGGCCTGCGGCTCTATGACACACACCTCAAGCGCTGACAATATGTGCATGACGGCTGGCCTGTTGGGCTCCCTCGCCAGTCCCTCGTGGCGGCTGTTGAGGATGCGGTGGATCTGCGGCAGTGAAAAGTCGTGCCGGTCGTGGATGACGCGCAGCTCTTCGAAGCTCGTTGCAACGAGCGCCGTGACGCTCACAACGCCGTCCGGCGCACGTACCCAGCCGCTCCCGAGCAGGCGGCCGTCCGCCCAAAGCAGCGGGCTCTTCGACTGCCGCGACGCCGACGAACACAAAGACGCTTCGGGCGCATCGCTGACGGCATTGAGAGCGAGCAGTGTGAAGTGAGGCACACGAAGGCCGAGCATCATCTGGATCAGCGTCTTGCGGGGGGGAAAGGCGTTGCACAGCTGCAGCCCCCGCACTGCACCGGAGTAGTAACCGTAGCGTTTGCACATCTTCATTGTGGTCCTCTTGAGCTGCTCACCTTCGTTGGTGAGCTCGTGCGCAGTGACCATCACCGTTGGACTGGCAGCAGTGGAGAGACTGAACACGTCCATCAGTGGCGTCGTCCGACCGCTGATGTCCTTCTTGTGCAGTGTGACATCCGTCGTCGCGATGCTGATGGTGTTGGTGTTGGTGATGTCCTCTTCGCAAGACAAGGTTGGCTGGGAAGGACGATGCCCACCCCCATTGCTCCCGCCACTTAAGGGCCGCGACAGATGCAGCAGCGCATCTTCGCTAGCGTTCGGCATACGCGGTGGCGACATCGGCGGCGGCGGCGACGACGACGACGATAGCAGCACCGATTGCCGGGGCTGCTGACATGCTGCCATCGCCATTGGGGGTGGTGATGCTGATGTTGTTACTGTTGGTGGTGGTGGTGGTGGTGGTGATGCCGATATAGCGCTTGTGGTCGGCACGCGGTGGCACTCGTTTCCTACGTCCCGCGCAGCAAGTGTGAGGCCGCGGCTGTACTGCAGCGTTGGCACTGGATGTGCCTCACGCATTTGTTGCACAAGCTTTATGATGACGTTCGCTCCGTCAACTGCCCACCTGCAGGAGCGCTCGAGGTGCAGTAGCTTCGACTCCGCCTCCTTGGTGCGCTGCGTGTAGCGATCATTTAACTCCTGTGCGATGCGCTGTCGCTCCACCATGAAGTCCTCCTCTCGCAACAGCGAGTTGCGCAGCTTGCGGCTGCTGCCGCGCTTCTTCTTGGCGCGCTCCGTGTCCTCCTGGGTCCAGCGCTCACGCATGCCCGCCTCCGCCTCTACCCACTCTCCCCTAATGCGCCTCAGTGACTCCTTTACCTCGCTGCGCTCGCGCCGGAAGTCCTGTATGTACACGCGCAGCTGCTCCAGCGTCATCTCCGAGCACTGATCCGGCAGCGGGTCGTCACGCACGAACGGGTAGCCGACGGTTGCCTCGGACTCTACGATCGAGGAGTACGCGACGGGGTCGCTGCGCAGTTCGTTGATCTCGAGGAGGATGGCCTGCTCGTAGTTGCTGTATTCGTCCTCCTTCGACATCACCGCCTGCCGCAGTGCGGCGGTGTTGTCAAATTGCTGCGGTGGCCGCTGGAAGTGGCGGGGCGGCTGGGTAGATGAGGCGGCCGCGACGTCGACAGACATTGCCATGAAGTGGGGCCTCGGCACGTGACGCCTTAGGCGGCTGTTGCTGTTGCTGTTGCTGGTGGTGGTGGTGGTGGTGGTGGTGGCAGAATCAGCACGCACCGCCTATTCTCTCGGTCTCTTACCGTTGCCTGTTTGCTGTGCGGTGCAGTGGCTTCCTTCTTGTTCTTGTTGCACCTACAACCGAACTCCATGGCAGTGGGAAACAAAAGAAAAATAAAAATAAAGCAAAGACAAAACAAAAAGAAATGCGGACTGCAGTCAAATGTGCGGACCTCATGTGTGCATGCATACGCATGCACATTCACGTGCATCCCCCAGCCTACGCCTGCGCATCCGACCCTCAAAGTCTCCCCACCACGGCACGCAACTGTGTGCAGAGGTGGGCACCGGCACACCCACACATATAGACAGAGAAGCAGACAGCTGTTAGACGCTGAACGTAGTGGGCCAGCTGACGGAGTGTCAGCGGCGATTTCTCTTCTCGTCGCTTCTCTCGTTGTCGAAGCAGCAGCAGTAGTAGTAATAATAATAGTAGTAGTAGTAGTAGTAGCAGCAGTGGGAGGGGTGTGCCTTGATGGCGCCCACCACGCAAGGTGTGGGGAGGGGGTCGAGACGTNAAAAAAAAAAAGTAAAACAAAACCGGACGGAAGAAACATAAGGAGATAGGTAGATCGACGGAAGAGTCCAGGGAGTGGTGGCGTACAAATACACCTAAAATTCAGCACTCCCGCCATGCACACGCACTCATCTTGCGCATTGCCTGTGGCTTTATTGTGTTTCTCTCTCTCGCGCGCGCTCTCTCTTGAGGGGGGTGTGAGTTGTTGTTTCATCGTCTGCGTTATCCGTCTTGTGTGGTGCTCTGCTGGCGGCACCACAACGAGGTGCCGGGGGCGAGTGCGGCCCCGCAGCCACAGCAGTAAGAATGTGGGGGAGGGTGATAAGCGCCACAGGCCCCTCCCCAGAGAAGATTTTCACATATGCACTGTCTTTGTTATTTTCATGTTTTGTTTTCGTTTTCACGCCCGCTTCTCGTGTTGCACTTCCCCTCCTGCTGGTTGCTTGAGAGGCCCCAAAATGGATATAAACATATAAATATAGTTGTGTGCCCGTGGCCCCGCTGTTTTGTGTTGTGCTCCGTCCCCGCGTTGCTGGTGGAGACGGTCGGCTCCGCGAAGTGCCCCGCCCCGCAGCGCCCGTGCGGCAGCAGGAGAGTGAGTGAGTGCAAGGGTGGGTAGCGGAGCGGGTGCGGCGGTGGCAGCTGACTCCCGGCCGGCATCCGCCGCCGCCGCGCGTTGTTGACTGTGGGCGGGCGGCAGCGAGGCGACGCAACGAGTCGGCACCACCACCACCAACAACAGCAACAGCAACAACACAAAAAAAGGAGGAACTCGCCCCTTCGGAGGAACAAGAACAAACAAGCTAGCACGCACGGGAGNGCAACAACACAAAAAAAGGAGGAACTCGCCCCTTCGGAGGAACAAGAACAAACAAGCTAGCACGCACGGGAGTGGTAGTAATAGTAATAATAATAAAAACAGCTGAAGGAGGCATCCACACGAGAAGGCGCCGTACAGAACCCAAAGGAAAAAACGCAACCAGTCGCGGCGCAACAGAGCCATCTCCATCGCGAAGGAGGAAATGAAGAAACGACAAAAAGGATAAGGAACAAAATAGGAAAGGCATACAAAGCAACGGGGAGAAAGAAAGAAAAAGAGAGAGAGAGAGAGAGACAGAGACAGAGAAAGAAGGCGGACGTCGATGGCGCCTCCTCACCCGCATGACGCGCGCCGTGCGTGCATGTATGTGCGCCTCTCCCTTCTCTCCGCTGGTACAAGTGATCTTGCTGCCCCCGTCGTCGTGCTCTGGACGTCTTCCCGAGCGTCTCGTCCGCCCGTTTGATTGTTTGTTGTTTGTTTCTTGTTCCTTTGCCTTGCAGTGAGGCAAGGAAAAACCCGCGAAGTACCGCTGGCCTCACCAATGCTTTACGCCGCTCCTGTGTATCCCCAATGCTCTTCACCTTTTGTTTTTTTTTGTTTTTTTTGCCTTTTTTTTTTTTGGTCTTGCAACTTCTTCTGCCGTTTGTGTTGCTGATCTTTTGGTTTTGTTTCGTTTTTGGTGTGTGTTGTGGTTGTTGTCGTCTCCTCGGGCCTTCCGCCGCGATGCCGCCCCCACGACTCCACTGGAGCTTTGTTTTGTGTTTCTTGACTTATTTTT